TACACTTCTTTTGTTCTATATGTTTTAACAAAATATTTTCAGGTAAAAAGATATCGTAGAAAAAGTGCTAAAAATTTTGAAATTCGCGATAGGCCAATTTTCGGGCCATACCAAGCGCCGACGTGCAGCACTTCCGGTAAAAATAAAATACATTCCACAAATCTACAGATATAGGTCTACTAGACCTGAAAGTATCACGTGTCTATCTAAAGTCGTTTAGGAGAAATCGTGCGGACAAACTGACCCTTAAAAAATCAATTTTGTGCTGATAACTCCGGACCGGAAGTGACGTCATCAAAACAGAAAAAAACGCATAAGGTTCAAGTGATGTTACATAAGTCCTAAAAGTTTCATGGAAATCCATCGAGCCGTTTTCGAGAAATCGCGTGCACAAAATCGGTAAGAAAAAAAAAACAATAATAATAACTAGAGCAAAGCTCGTTGCAAAGCAACGAGTAGGTCTTCCGTCATGTTTGACCGGAAGTGGCTTTCATTTTTAACAGAAATGAGAAATAACGTCCAAAAATGGTTTGATTCCTCTAAATCCATGTAATTATTGCAAAAATAAGCCATTTTCTCTTACTTCCGGTTTGACCGGAAGTGACGACGACGGACGGAAAATTAATTATAATGCTCCCAGAGACATATGTTACCAGAAAACTTGTCAAGAACGGCAAAAATACGCGTTTTCCGACTACTTCCGGTTTGACCGGAAGTGACGACGCCGAACGTATTTTGACGGCTTCAGTAGATTAAACTTGACATTTTGAACAATTTTGCTTCTTTGACGTATCACAAATTCTCAATACTTTTTGAGATATAAAGGATAAACTTTCGGCCCCTCCAGGCCCCTGATTTAAGGGGCCAGCCCTTTTTTCGAGATGTCATTTGAAAGATCTTGAAATTCTACACCTTTTTTGTTCTACATGCTTAAACAAAATATTTCTAGGTAAAAAGTTATCGTTGAAAAAGTGCTTAAAATTTTGAAATTCTTGATAGGACTATTTTCGGGCCATAGCGAGCGTCGGCGCTTCGTACTTCCGGTAGTTGTGATATACTTAGTGCACTTCTCCAAAAGTTGCTCTAGCATCACTGAAAATTTCAAGCTTCTGTGTTTAGTGCTTTTTGAGAAAACTGCCGGACAAAGTGACCCTCTAAAAATCACTAAATCGCAGAAAACTCCGAACCGGAAGTGACGTCATCAAAATAAAAAAATATTTCTAGATTTGTTGATGTTCTATCAGACCTGAAAGTTTCATGAAAATCGATCGAGCCGTTCTCGAGAAATCGCGCGTACAAAATCGGTAAGAAAAAAAAACAATAATAATAAAAATAGTGGAAAAGAAACCTAAGAAAAACAATAAGGTCTTCCGCTGAAGACGGAAGACCTTAATAAAAGTGAAAAAGAAACCTAAGAATAACAAGGTCTTCTAATAATAAAAAGAAACAGTAGAATCACTATAAGGTCTTCCGTCTGAAACGGAAGACCTTAATAATAACTAGATGAGATTTCATTGCAAGCAACGAGTAGGTCTTCCGTTCGATTTTTGATAAGGTTATAAAACAACTTTAAATGAAAAAAAAAGTTCAGATCAATTATTCAAAATACGTGAGAACACATTTAAGAGTGAAATCTATCAATTTCAAACAACTTCCGGTCTTTATAATTCACTTCCGGTTTGACCGGAAGTACTTAAAATGACTTATTACTCCTTTTTAAGTGTGAAGGAAACATCCTTGATAATTTCAATGAAAAATGCTCATTTTTTGGACTACTTCCGGTTTGATAAAAATAACTTCCGGTGGACATAATATAACTCGAGACACTCTATTTGCCTCCATAAGAAACATTTAAAAAAGAAAAAAATAAAATTTTGCATATTTTTAAACTACTTCCGGTGGACGACGGACGCGACGGCAACAAAAACCATATATCCTTCTCAAATCTAGGAGTCATAATCTATCATCCCTGAAAGTTTCAGGACCCAATCTCCAATCGTTTTCGAGAACACTCTCGGACAAAATGACACTTTAAAAACAGAAAAATGGACATATCTCGCGACCGGAAGTGACGACGGCAAAATAAAAAAAAATGCATAAAGTTCAAGTAGTTTCCTATTACTGCTGAAAGTTTCATGAAAAACTATCGAGGCGTTCTCGAGAAATTGCCTGCACAAAGTCGGTAAGAAAAAAAAAAATAATAATAGTGGAAAAGAAACAACAGAATCAGTAGAAGGTCTTCCGTTGGAGACGGAAGACCTTAATAATAATAAGAAACCGAGTAAAAACAATATGTTCCCAAACTCCGTTTGGGGAACATAATTAACGTAATTAGAATCTGCCAGAAAATCAAGGGTTGTACAACTTATATCTGTTTACCTGTACCACATGCATACTAAAATCACAAGTGCATACTCGGTGAATCGTGTAGTGTTTAAAATTATATCATCTTCTGAAAAATCTGACAGTTTTGCTTTATATATGCATAATCTTGATTCTGCCAATCCACGCGCTCTAGGCCCAGCGTCTGTCTCGACATCTATCCCGCCACGCACGTGATTTTCCTTAACCGCGACTACCTTTAAACCAGTGCATTCTAAATGTAAATATTATAAGGTGAAAGCAATTCTCAAAATCAAAATATCTTTAATTTTCGATAGATTAAAAATCGTTAACATTGTAGTCTGCCTTCAGACGGATTTCACAGAATTAAGTACGTTTTGTGTCTTGGGGTATCATGGGGTCCAGGGAAGGAAAATCCGCCATCGCGGCAAAATGTCAAACAAAATATTTTTCTGCAGTTCCATTACAATTTGCACTCCAAATGGCAATAATTTTTAAATGTCATATAAGGTGCATTTAAATGCTGAGTTAACATTTATTTTTCTCTCTGAAAGACACAAATATACGACAAAAGATAGCTTGTATCAACAATCCTGTATAGTAAAACCTTCGCGAGCCCCGCGTGAGTATCGCCGAGACCTCGTGTCATATTAATTTTCAAACAATTTTTTCCCTTAGGAAAGTTGTTTTTCCTTTTTTGGTTGACTTTTTCAATGTAGCATTCCTACCGGTCTTCCCCCTCTTATGCTGTTTTATTTATAAAAAATAAACACGTTACGATGTATGTATTTATGGGCCATAAATAAATATCAATTTTAATGAAATTATCAGAATTATTTACTTCTGAAACTTGTTAAAAGTTTATAAAAGTGTTTTCATTCATGAGTGGTAAAAAAATTCGATATCCTACTGGAAAATTTTTAAAAGCCAGTTTAAGAGATGCGCCATACAGTCATTTTAATGGTTAAATAAGTACAGTGCATTTTAAACAGCAATCCACACCCCTAATTTTAAGGTAAACTATAAGTTTTTACATGCCATGTATGATAGCAATACAAACGCATTTACACTATCCCGTCATGGCAGATCAAGTTAACAGTGCCTTGTCATCATATGCTACCGAAATATGGCTGAAATACTGCCGACTCGCCGTTAAACAATAGCAATCAATCAATAATATGCTACACATACAGCATGACGTCATTTCTTGGTAGTTAAGAGATTTTACTAAAGTTAGTGTACTGTGATATTTGCAAGATTATTCTTTGACTCACAGGAGTATGACGACCTTAAAACAAATGGTATGGACATGATAAGCTAATTCTCTCTTCTTGTCACGTAGATTTCACTTCAGAAAGTCCGAAAGGTCTCTGTGTTATGCCATGTTTACAGCAATTTGTATTGTTTGCATATTTTAAGTTCACTCTCATTATTTTCACGTATTTGATTAAGCAATTAAAAAATACACAAAAGATCCACAAAGCTGCTTCTTTGTTTTACAGTGTGTTCAGTATGTGTTTTTATCTCATCTTAAATCTCAATTTAATAACTTCTTTTAAAACAGAAGTATGTACTACTTAAAGCAAAAGTAGGAATGTAATCAACAAGAGTTAATCAATAAAGGAGTATTGAATTACGACAATATACAGCTCAACTCACTTTTTTTAAACACACAATAGTTTTATCGCACAAATTAAAGTCACATTTTTACTGAAATAAAACCTGAGATTATCGATTTTCAGTACGAGACATAAATCTTATATTTTTAAATATTTCATGTTAAAGGTGCATCTTCTCTAAAATCATTATCTTAAGTTTTGAAACTCAATGTTCTAAAAGGGAATTTGTTTATAAATTGTATGATGTTAAATGTTTATGATTATGTCATAGGTATTGAACAATTATTTATTAATCGATCTTTCTTTAATAATATTTGGATAAAATGTTCACATTGACTTCTTACAGATGAGTATTTTTCTAGGTACCTGGCGCATTTTCTACACTTTTCTGTTTAAATAAATCAAGTGAAAGATAGGATATTAAATTATTGTTTATCTCTCAACATAGTAAATTGTAAATATTGGAAAAATTATTATTTTTTTTTTCATTTATGGCCTGAAACTTTGAAAATATGCGTTGAAAGGTATCTTTCAGGATGCTAGATTTCAGGAAGTAATCTGCAAAAATGCCACCTTTTTAACATGGAAATCAGTGCGCCTTAGTGTAATATTAATGTACATAAAATGCAGAAGTTACATAAGCTGCACTGTTTCTGTATTATGACATGACAAATGTAAGCTTTAAAATGAACGGATACAAAGACGTTTGCATTTGACAAGAAACCATGAAAAAACCATTTGGAAATTCTCATAATGTATCATCCAAGAGCATATAACAATCCTATAAATTATTATGCGTGAATTATGGTTAAAGTAATGAAATATGATCAAAATTAGGTTATGAATCATTTTTAAAACCTATTTTGTTGTCACGTTATACAACTTTGCATTATAACAATGTGACCTTAATTTTTTCCCCTAAAAAAATGTGAGTTTAAAAAGTGCGTTGAGCTGTGTGTTTATAGTTTCTATTTTTATTCCCAAATTCATAATTTCAGTATTTTATTTCCTGGTATATACACTAAGAGTTTAGATCAAAACAAGAGAGTTAGAGTAAATTGGTTTATCAGTGCATCGCAAAGGATGTTGTTCACATAAATTTGAAGAAGAGTAAAATTGCCCTCTTCCACAAACTGAAGATGATTGAAGTCAACCCCCTGGGCCTGTGGTTATTTCTAATTTTATGTTCTCTCCAAGGTTAGAAATATTACTTGTTTTAAATCAATTTATTTGTAGACGAAAAATTAATTTATGGCTATGTACAAAATATGTATGTTTAAGGCTGTGTTGTGAAGTCATGTAGAAGTGGATTATATACTTATAGAATAGGTAATAGATACTGCATGACTTTTACAATTACTTCCCTTTTCCAACTGGTACGCGTTATTTTATCTAAAGAGCAACGATGAGTCACAGTAAGGGGTTTCCATAGTGTTAAAAAAGGATACTTTTACACAAAATGCTTGCCTTTATGCGGAGATAAGTAGAGGATTTTTTTTTCTCTGAAAAGAGACTTATGAATAAAAAGTCCATATAGTTTATTGACTGTCATAGTAGAATGAAGCATATTCATTGTTTAAAACCAATTTTCTTCAATATGTTATAAAATTTAACAAAATTAAACAATCAAAAGTTGACAAATTTAATAAAAAATTTTATATAACTGATTTCAAATCGATTTTTTGTTATTTATTAGGTAAATTGACGTCGTAAATGTGTGTTTTTGACGTTTTGATAAAAATGAAAATCTTACAGAAGGGATCATCAGAATGTCATCTATCATTTTGTAGTCCTCTATAAAATAGAGAAATTCATACATTTTGACATTCGAGATGCCCCCTTCCGGAAACAAGACCGTTGAATTTAGTGTTTCTTCTTTACATATAATGTACAATATATTATGACTAATTATATATTATAATTTGAGCATGAAAGTATATTGCAGTATTTGTAAAAGAAGGTGGTACAGTTTGGAATGAATTGTGCCTTTAACATTTCATGTTCTATAAAATGTCTAGAATATTTTCTCCAAAGACCTGGAAAATGAAATAGACTTGGAAAATATTAGTAATATTTCAATTAAAAATCAAATATCGACAAATCACATTCAGTAAAGGTTTACAGGTGAAATAAATTTCAGAATATGTTATCTGTGCGCTAAATGTGTAATATAAACTTTAGAAAAATATACCAAGCCAGGTGAATTTTAAGAGGAGGATCAAAATGACAAAAAATTAGCAATATCACATAGGCTGATTTTTACCATTTAGCTTTTCCTAATAAAATTCACCTGGCTTGGTATATTTTTCTTAAGTTTATATTAGCACCATGTAAACATATCCTGAAAATTGTTCACTTTACTGAATATGATTTGTCTATATTTGTTTTTTCATTGAAATATTACTAATATTTTTCAAGTCTTTTTCATATACCAGTTCTTAGGAGAACAAAATTCTAAGAACCATCCACATTTCTAAACTTGTGACATGATCTTAAATCTTTTTCAAAGAAAAAAATTGTTCGTATCATCTGTCCTTAATGCTTGAGAAAACACCAGACCTTGATGTCCAGCTATTCGTTTAATACAGCTTCAACGTCATCGTTAGTATGTGTCGTGGACATAAAATATACGGAATTTCAAGATTTGGCCAATGTTTTCCACAAAAGAATAACGATTTGACAGTTGCCTGTGGGGTTTATCGCCGGATGGTGAGGGTTAAATGCATGCTTGTACAGTTTACCGTCGACAATTATGTGACAGTAGCGTAATAATTTGGGTGAGACAAAAGAATCCCATTATCCAGCAAAAAAAAATCTATGATATATAATATTTATCTTACATACAAGTATTGTAAGGCATTTATTTTTACAGTTTCTCGATTAAACCATAGAACACGTGGTTGGTGTGATCGATCGGCATAAAATGCTTAAATATTTCACCATATCACCTGATCCCACCTCTTACGTTTTAGGATGTCCATGTTTACTCTTCTTCCTTGTACTGTATCAATGGACTTTGGAGCTTGGTTACTGTTCCTAATCTCCATATCTTATTCAAAGAAACATGCATTTAAAATGCAACAAAAGACAATAGTTTGAATAAGCTTAGGTAAATTTCAGTATTAAGATATTAAGCAACTATATATACATTTTTGCTTTTATTTGTCCCCCCCCCCAAGATAAAGAGAAAAACCCAAATATTTCAGGAACTAAGTTCACATATATTTTATTCATTTCAGGTCAATCTTTTAAAATATTCACCAAATTTATGAATGGAAATCTGATATTTACATGGAGCAATATTTTAACAACCCGCAATGATATAACCATCATTAAGGATTCTCAGTCCAGTGATTGGATATCGGTTTATGATGATCAGTACACTGTGAAAGATGTTACGCTATACAAAACTGTAACGATCAAAGTACGGGAGTTGTACACATCGCAAAATTATGTGAAATGCAACCGAAAATTCAACGGTAAGTTTATTTTTAAGTGAAAATATTCAGAATGAATGTGGGTTAAAAAAGACAAAACAAATAAAAGTTTTCCATTTTCCGCACATTCAAATTAAATAGGTAGATGGTTCAATCATGTGACTGTAAAATTAAATGGTCAACATAGTTTCAATGCAGAGTGTTTCACTAAAATCCAAGACATAGCTGCCACATTCTACACACGTGAGACTGAGTGTATTTGACAATAATTGGCTCTTAAATTCTGTTTAATTTGTGAAATGAGTATTTGATATTAAGCAGAGCTTGTCCTTCTCCTTTACATTTTATTTAGTTCATTTAAATCAAGCATCAATTATATGCTATATTGAAGTCAAAATGCTACATGATAACATTTGCTTCAATAATCAAACAAACAAATAAAAAAAAAATAATAATAATAATGAGCAATCATGAATAAATGCATTGCATTTGTTGTGATGTCTTGTTTTTGATGAAATGTAGTCTGTTTTTGTGTTTGATTTTATATTAACTCGCGCTGTTCAATTTTATTCAACCATTCCTGTATTTCTGTAACGACAGAGTTAACTATACAGAATTTTCTCTTTCATATATAAATGACACTTCATATGAATATTTCATTTTTATTTTAAAGGAATAATTTTCTTATTTGGACAACGTTAAAGACATTAAACATTCTATTCCTTTCATTTAGATAAAATAAATTTAATTGATTCTAAACTATATAGCAGTATTATACAAAAAGGTATCTTTAAGAAATATAAATACATATAATCATGTTTCTGTGTTATTCTTTCAAGTAAGAAGCTTAGAAAGCAAGTCAAACACAACAATAGCAAAGAAGTAAATAATTCAACTGAAAATAACATAAAATAGCTGGAATAATAGGAGACAAACGATTTAAATTTTTTTTTAAAAAGTGCGATATATATGTCTAGGTCTGATTTTTTTTCTTTTCCATAATAATAGTCAATAGTAGATGTTTAGCCGACAACACTCTTTTACGGTAACAAGTTTTTTTTTATAATTGCGTTATTTCTTTTCCTGATTCCTTTTTAGTCATAACTGCAGAATCAAAGGAGGGTGAATCAAGAAACATTTCATGGAATGCAGGTTATTTCCCTAGATCTGGACGATACCTCATTTTTCATGTATATAATGATTCAGTATCAACGATTATGATGATAGGGGACAGTGACCCGTCAAGTGAAAAGTATATTTATCACACCCGTCCCCTAAATTCTTCAAATATACAGTTTGAGGTGAAAAAATTAGCAGTGCAGGATGCCGGATATTACGTAGGAGGTGCAACAGAGACAGACGCGTTAGAAAGTGAAGGCGTGGTTCTTATTGTTTTCGGTAAATTCTGTGATTTTTTTTATATTTACCAGATTGAAAGCTATCTAATGTCAACTTTGTACAGCAATTTATTTATACTTGTTTACAATGGGGAAAAGTTGCTCTTGTATATCACAATGCATTTTTTATGAATGTAATGCTAAATGCATTGAATGTACTAAAATTCATATAGTTAAGCTAGTGAAACCAATAATAATAGGAATAGTTAATGTCAAAGTGGGGGACTACGCTTTTGTCCCTCCTTACCACCTTGTGTAATACATTGAACAAAATTAAATTCAAGAATATATTATACAACTATAACTCATCATGACTTTGCTGTTAGGATAACAGATTTTGTATACATTGTACTTTTCGATCAACATTAAATGGAAGGATTAAAGTGAGATACATAGGTAAGTGAAAATAACTTATACAGTGTGTATTCAAGATAAACTCTATCTGATGTAAACCAGTGGTAGAGAGTGTCCGAACCCAGTTTCAAGATTTACGCTTTAGAAGCACTGACGATGATTTTATTTAAAAAAGGATTTAATTTTAATGTAGAATGTATACATTGTATTACAATTGCATGTTAAAAATTCTTTAAATTATTTTTTTTTTAATTCAGGAAAACCAGTGAAGGCACAAATAACTGGGAATCTGAATATTCAAGTCGGAGAATTTGCCTATCTGAAATGTGAAAGTAGATCTACGTCTGCTCCGTCCTATTACAAGAAGTTTCAGCCATTAACGTATTCATGGTTTGTCAGCAACACAAGGCTTGATAGAGAGGTTAGAGAGACCTACAGCTTTATTGTGTCTAAGGAGGTTAAATACAACAAATACAGCTGTCAGGCAAAGGAAACACTAGAATCAGAAAGAAGTGAAGAAATTCAGATTAACCCTCTATGTGAGTATCTTGGTAGGTTTTAATTTACGCACACTATCATATTTTAAAAAAATGTGATAATTTGAATTACATTTATCTGCTTCTCTAGGTAAAAAGTGATTGATTTGAGTAGGCTTAGGGTCAACAAATGAACCGTCAGATATAATTTTGATTTTTAGATATGATATTTTAAACTGATAATAATCATTTGGCTAAGAAAAATTTCATAAATATTCTTTTGATACTTGATCATTCTTATATATCTTTACATGAAACTTGCGGACTCATTACACTCTTCTCGACGCGACAAAGCCAGTTATTGCAACGAGTACATGCATGACTTGCGTTGAATCTTCATTTAAAAAAATCGGTAATCCTTAAATATTCAATTCTGCTTCTACTCCATGAAATTCCGTGAAATAAACTGCATAAAATGAAATTGATAATAATAATTGAAGAAAAGCTTACAGTTGGAGTAACAAGCAGGTCTTACATCCATTTGAGCAAATGCAAGTAAGTTTTTTTTAAAAAAAAAAAAATGAAAGCTGTTCTGCAGGGCATTGGATTTAATATGATGAATGGCGTCTTCAACAACATTATTTTGTTTATTGTTTAAATTCCCTCTCGAAAACAGATGCAACCACCCTCCGGTTGAGAACCACAAATTTTAACCTATGCATGGCAATCAAGGCAGTTGAGCAGTGAAAGGTGTTTTTGTACCAGCGACTCGGGAACTTGATAATACGGACTCATCCGAGGGACCGATCCTTGTGTTTCACATTTCGATTGATAACTGCGACGTACGGATAAACTCGTTACTCCGCGACTCACTACATCTAAACTTTATCCATTCATTCAGATAGTTGTTCAACACGCCAGTTTAGCTGCTTTTGGAACGTTGGAAGCAATATTTTATAGATTTAGGTCAGTCGTAATCGTGATATTGTTAATCTAGCTACAGACTGAGCTAACGTGAAGGTCATAACTCGTTCAAATTTGAAGAGTATGTTTCCTCATATATTTCTTTCTATCAAAAATAGTCTAGTCCGATTTATAGAAAACAATATTTCTAACGGCAAATAATTATTATTTGGTCCAACATAGTTTTTTGACCTATTTCGAGTATGCTGAATCCGAAAAAATGTGTTGGCTTTCATGAAAATGGCGTTAAAGAGGTCAAAATGGTGATACAAAATGGCGGACATCCAATTTTTCTAATTTTCCCTAAATATCGTTCAAAAAGGAGAAATAATGTGTGAATATCTCACTGAGTGTAATACAAGTATAAAAATGATAATAGAGTGCAGTTATTTAAGAAATAAAGTCCGCGTTTTCGTGAATGTTGCAGAATAACCTCCGAGGTCGAGAAATGTTGTTTGAAATATAAAAGCCGAGGCGTTAGCCGAGGCGTTTATATTTCAAACAACATTTCGAGACCGAGGAGGTTATTCTGCATCATTCACGACAACAAGGACTTTATTTCTATTCTAGCAAGGGCGATAAATACGGCCGATTGTTTCCTCTATAGAGAAACGAATTAGGCCACCATGTCCCGATTACGTTGTTCTATTTAACACCAGAGAGAAATTTTGTTGACTTACCTATATATGGAATGCAGATGGTTTGAGCTTTCGTTGCATTAAAAATAGTCTTGTTTAATTACAAATTTGTTCGTAATATGTATTGATCAGTTAAAATGAATATACAAAAACAAAATCGTGTTCTTGTTTTACTGCTAAAATCACGTTGTTTAATGTGTAGGGAGGTCCGTGGAATAGCCCCGCTTAGCTATAAAAACCGACATTCATCAGCAAGTTGATGCAATTTACAGTGTTTATACTTCAAAAGACGACACATCGATGCGGTCTAATCAAGTATTTTATGCTACAGCCAAACATGCATTTAAATTGTTCAGATTTGATACGTGTTTCTGATCTGATAATTTTCTGATGACGTTCGTGGTCTATTGGAGAATAATGTCCAGGCGGCTTCCTTTGAAGTTTTCAATAACCGTGGTAGAATATTAGTTTAACTCAGAAAATTTAGTCGTTTCTACACTTAATTCGAATTTTCTCTGATTGTTTGGTCTATTGTTTCTATATTCTTCTTTGTTCAGGAATTTATATTTGCAAATATCCATACACTGCAGATTTTCGTTTTTTCCTCTGCATCTCAATATTCTACAAATGAATGATGGCGCAGCTGTAAGTTAAAAGTCAAACTGGCGATTCAAAATGGCCGATATTCACCTTTTTTAAAATTTTAAATTATTTCCTAATGTTGTTTTCATAGGAAAATAAAATGTAAATATCTCACTGAGCGTAGTACAACTATGTACAATGTCAACAGAAAACTTATTTGATCACTTTAAATCGGAAAATTTAGACGTGTAGATTTGAATAGTGTTAATTAGCTCAAAATGGCGATTCAAAATGACGTCTGATACACTCGAATTTCATAGAAACTGCTTAATTCTGGTTCGTTTTGCAGAAAATGAATTACAGTTTGTTTTTTATGTATATAGTATATATAGTTTATTGATTAGTCCATTAAATATGAACAAAAAAAACTTGAAAAGATTTATTTTTTTCTGGAAATACTAGTAGTTAAAACAAACTTGACTTAAAAGTTCCCAAATTTCCCCCTTCGTATTTGACCGTACGTGTTCTAAAGCTTTTGAGTCCCCGTCTACCTAAAATCACTCCCGAATCCTGTCATTATAAACTCGCACTTCTACCTCAACAGCCCTCGGCACACCAACAAATATAATTGAATAAATTCTTGTCCGATTTCACTGAACACTTTGTTCTAGCTTTTTAGCACTTATAAGAACTTATTATCCCCTAACATCTTCTATTCCAGCTTTATTTGCTATATGTTTAAGCCTGTCATCGGAATTTTGGTATTTTCAACACTCAAGTAAAATGGTGCCCCGTGTCATAGATGATAACCCCCTTGTCAAGTAAAAGATGGTATCTCTGGAGCTCGAAAAAGAGTAATTAAGCTCAATGTGGACCGTAAGAAAAAATAAAAATCCTGCAAAAACCGATTATTTAAACTGACAGTCCGCCGAAATATGGCAGAAAAATTGCCGACTTGGCGTTAAACAATTTACAATCAATCAACCAACACTCAAGGAACAACACATTTACGTTCAAATGTTAAAAGTCTACTTTGTTTTCCAAAACCATATGCAAAATGAACTAGAGGTACTGTGAGCAATTAGCTAACTAAATGGAACCCCTGCCTCCCATATGAATATAATGACAGTGTCCATGTTTTGCTATGTGAAATCCAAAATATCTGTCGGATCAAAAAGTAAAATAGGGGGTGCATAATGGGAATATGTAATAAAGATTCTGTGAAAGTTTCATCAAATTTCATTCAGTGGTACGAAAGGAGTTACGGATAAGAGATGGGTACCCAAAAGCGTAACAGACGGACGGACGGACATACACCTTGTACCGATTACTCTATACCCTCCCGCTTTTCAAGCGGGGGTATAAAAAATCTCTGATGTTCAAGACTTATAGCTCTTTATTTTGTGACTTCGTATAGATTTGTTGTCTTTTAGGGTAGAAAGGTCATTCTATTAGCAAGAAAATTCTCAAAGTTGATCATCTGAAATCACATTGTGTGCATATTTTGGTGAGAAAAGTTGAAAAATTATGCAATTTAAGAGCGCCTGCAGATTCCTCGTGATTGGAGAGAATGCAGTTGAATTTATGACTGAGAATAACAAAATGCAAATGAAGGGACACAGAATCAGAGCTGGACAATCAAGAAAATTTATGGTAAAAATACGTATATTATACTGATAATTCTTTATAAATATGTTTATATTTGAACATTATGATATATTTAGATTTATATGATGTAACAATTACTAGCCCTATAATTGGTCGTGGTCAATCATTTTAAAAATCATACTACTAAGTTATGTTGCACGAGACCTTCCACATGAACATTTATTAAACATTTATTTTTTTTCCACACTGGACTAAAATAGATCAAGAATTTCCAACAACTGAATGTTCACTCGACTTAATCTCGGGGGATACTGCTCCTGGGGTAACTTCATTTTCATATTGTCCTCAAAACAGCAATTATTGTATGATATTATTAACTTTTATATATGAAGAAGCATGGTGAGACAGGTAAAAGGTAAAATGCCTTCGGTATTGTCGTCAAAAAATTATCATAACAATAGTTAAACAAAAATCCGTATTATAAAAATTCAAAGTCATTAACAAAAATATCCCCCAACTTTCATTGCATAATTGAACATCATTTCATGAATAAAAAAACAAACTGTAGTTTATTTTCTGCAAAACGAACCAAAATTAAGCAGTTAGGGTATTTTACGAAATTCGAGTGTATAAGACGTCATTTGAATTGCCATTTTTAGCTAATTAACACATTTCAAATTTAACGACTAAATTTTCCGATTTAAAGTGATCAAATAAGTGTTCTTTTGTTATTTTACATAGTTGTACAACATTCAGTAAAAATTCACAAATCCTTTCTCGTATGTATACGACATTAAGAATTAAATAATTTGAAGAAAAGGATGAATATCCGCCATTTTGAATCGCCATTTTGACTTTTAACTTATTGCTGCACTATCATTCAATTGTAGAATGGTGAGATGTAGAGGGGAAAATACAAATATGCAGTGTATGGATATTTGCAAATGTAAAATCCTGAACAAAGAGGAATATAGAAACAATAGACCAAAAAATCAGAGAAAATTCGAATTAAGTGTAGAGACGACTAAATTTTCTGAGTAAAATTAATAATATTTGCACTCTATTATCATTTTTATACTTGTATTACACTCAGTGAGATATTCACACATTATTTCTCCTTTTTGAACGACATTAAGAAAAAATTAGAAAAATTTAGTGTCCGCCATTTTGAATCGCCATTTTGACCTCTTTAATGCCATTTTCATGAAGGCCAGTATATTTTTTTGGATTCAGCATACTCGAAATAGGTTAAAAAACAATGCTGGACCAAATAATAATTATTTGCCGTTAGAAGTTATTTCTAGCCCTCTTTTTTTAAAATCAGGACCAGACTAAAAGCAATATGATAATATGACATCATAATGCATTGTATTACATAACAAATGTTATCGAAAGTTTGAAGTACCACTTATTAGCCTTGGGTCTACAAAAAAATCTATTTGATTTAATAGGATAAAGATTCTTTATCAAGGTACGATCAAGGGTGCATGGAATTTTTATTTTGGCTCGAAGGTGTTTGGAATGATACACTATAAATATCCGTAAACCCTTGATTTAAGGTCAGACAAGACGTCGACTTTCCTCAAAATATGGTTTGTATATCTTCGTAAAGTATGAAAAATATTCAAAATTTTAAGTTTCTGAACCAGTTTCTAAACGTCTTTAAAAAATCCAAACACTTAAGGAAGGTCCATACTTTTACAGATCCGGTTTTAATTTTACACACCAATATAAAATTCTGATTATCACATTTTTTGTAATAATTTCATGAGTAAAATATTTAATAATTATAGTGTCAATTTGAATACAAAGCATTTAATATATACTATTTATGGAAATTAACACTTAACACTTAGTCCATGGGATTTATATGCTTTTAGTACATACACAGACACAAAATTCTTAATTGCATTTATTAAGCTAAACCCTTCTTATATTTTTTTTAAACAAACTAACTTGGGATCTATTTTAATAGATTTCAGGCCAATATCATCATTTTAAATTTTACTTCCGTTATAAATTTTGTAAAAAATAATTGAAAAATTCGATATTCCAAATATGGGAGTCTACGTGTTCAAAGGGCTGTTTTGTTAAATTATTCTGGTCAATAAAAAATTGTGTTTTTGATAACCTTAGATATAATTCTTACTAATTTTTAAGAAAAAATGGCATGTAAACAATTCAAATTTTGAGAATTATTAAAAATAAAGATATTAAAAGATTTTATTCTTATAGACGTGGACAGATTCAACATTAATTTGTTAATGTTTTCCCGGAAAGATTTAAAATATTCTCATATTCTCCTCGCAAATGAATGTTTTTTTCCTTAAGTTTTAATATAAATTTTATGTGATTAGGTGCCTAGCTACATAAAATTTGATATCACACTTCTTTATGTTTAATTTTGGATGTTGAATTTTTAGAGGTATGTACTCTGAGACATGTTGTATGGAAATTAACCTGCAAATATATGTCTTTTATGTTTGTTTTAGTTAGTTCATGAGTTATTTAAGGTATTCAAGTAAAAAAAATGATCAGTTTGGGTTAGGGTCAGAAAAGTTTGAAAGTACGGGCCTACCTTAAGCACTTGAAATTGGAAAATTATTTTTCATCCCAAAAGGAATACATAAGAAAAACTACCCCTGGTATCTTGCAGAAATACCTGGTAAGGTACTTCAAACTTTTGTAGGTAAACATGTTTAAGTAGCAATACTTCAAAGACAAACTCTTGAAAAATATATATATTATTTGGGAACGTCTCGTCTGTCCTTTACCTTGATAGCTGAAATTGACTTTTTTTACTATGTTAATCTGATGTCTGACTAACAACCTCCTTGAATTTAACCAATCGAAAATGTAAGATTTCCAAAATTTACACAAAATATTATGGAAAACTCATTTTCTTCTCTTCACAGATGGTCCAGGAAATGTAATAATAAATCCTCAGCCGCCTTATGACGGTCTAAATATTCACGACGGGGAAACATTTGGTCCATACACATGTTCTTCTGATTGTAACCCACCTTGTGCCATGCAGTGGAAATATAAACATCCGTTAGGGAGTTTCAGAGACGCTACATCCATTTTGACGTCTTCAGTTACTGTACAAGAGCAAACAGCGAATAGAACTAGTATGGCATCAATTCGATGTATAGTGAGCGGCACTGACGGCAAAACATCATCAAGCATCAAGCTGAACATTCAATGTAAGACTGTTTCAGAGCATCGTCTCAAAATAACTGCTACAATGAAAAAAAAACATCATTAATCTTAACATTTAATGTAAGCGTGTTTTAAAGCATTGTTTTACTGTATATGCTGCGGTAACCATTTGTCATACTGAAGGGGTTTTAGAGACGCTATATCCATTGGCATAACATGGATTAATTTAGCAAAACAAACAGCAAACAGAACAAATTTGACATGGATTCGATGTTTAGTTAACGGAATTGAAGGTCGCTCTGTATCCAATATTAAGATAAACATTCAATGTAAGTGGGATATGCAAACATTTTTTTTTAAAAAGGGAACGTTAATGCATTGTGAAAAATACAACTTAAAACCAAATCCCTATCGTTACTTTCATCTTTTCTTTTATTTCCCATGAAATTAGAAAAAAAAATATTATAACGCTTTTCAGAATCAAACAATTTTAACCTTAAGATACAAATAATGTTTTATTTGATTCTTCATTTTACCTGATATATGAAAAAAATGCACATCCGGAAACTGTAAAACTATCTACTTTAAAGCTTAAAAGCAAATAATATCTGATCCATGCAATACACGCACTAGATTGTTGAAATCATGATATACGTATGTATAGCGTCTATTTTAAAACTTCTGCAACTGTGTGACAATGACCCTTGAAGCATCGTCTATAATCTAAATTAAACTTGCAGTATTTCGCTTTTACAATATAACTGCCACGTATGATTACAAATTTGATGTGTAAAAACTGAAATTGTTTGAATGCCTTTAAAAGAATTAGTAAATTCACTTTGTATTTAGTGTACGTATGTGCATTTGAAACTCTCAACCTTCAAAAAATATAATACTAAATAATAATAACTCAAAAAACGTATCGTCATGTTGAGGTTGTTTAATAGAAAACTTTCTTTAAAACTTAACACTGTCTTGAACGTATTAATTTTTGAAAAAAGGTAAGTTTACAACTGATTCTTAGTTTTTATGCGATGACTTGATATTTATTTAATTTTTTTTTTAAAAATCAGATTTATTGGACCCGAGGTTATATATTAATGGTAAACCCAGCGATGCATTAACCATTAATGAATCAAATCAAGTTTTCCTGTCGTGTTTTGTCTATGGAAATCCTATTCCAGAAATCACCTTACGCAAACTCACTGGGAACCAGATCTATATACAGAATGTAAATCATTGGCTAAACTACACATTGATCAGATGGGCCCAGTGCTCTGACACGGGTACTTTCGAATGTGTCGGACAATCGACGGAGTTTGGGAGAAGGAATCAGTCCTTCAGTATTAACGTTCTCTGTACGTATACATTGTAACAGAATATTGAAGTCTGATAATAATTATTGAGTATCCATTGTCATTAATGCTTTGATGTTTTCGTAGTGTTAAACCATTAGCAATGTTCTTTATGGAATTGCAGGTGAACCTCGCCTCGATGAAGGTACTTTGGTGAAAAACATCTATGAATCAAGAAGTGGCCCGGATGTTAAAGTTGTTGTAAGTTTACCAGTTGTTGCGAATCCCCTAACATCTACATCAGGGTTCGTTTGGTTAGGACCCACTTTTGCGTCAATTTCAATTGATGTTTCACAAAGAGATAACGTTGTCTACAAACACTGGATCAACAGCTCCATTCCTGTTCCTGATCAGAGATCATTCGGAACCTATTCGCTGAAATACAAAGGAAAAGCCTTCGCTGATATAACAATTCACGCCAAAGGTAGGATTTAAAAAAGAATCTTAACATTTTGTTAAAAACATTATAACAATTTATAAAATTTCATCAATAGTTTGTTCCTACTGCTATATATAGGATTTAAAAATAATATTCCATTCCTATCATGACGTGTAAAGCATTTAATGTATTGTAAGAAAAACCCTTGCAATAAAATACAATACAAAACAAAGTTTGTGTTGCATATTATTATGTAGACTCTCTAATGCCTTTAACATTAAAATACACATATGCATACGATTGGAGAAAAAAACTACTTAAAACACATATGCATATTTGCATATAAAATATGGTTTATCTAACATAATGCATATTAAAAGACCTAAAACCATTTCAAGTGAACTGTATATGGCGCAGAAATGGCTTAAAAAATTACATCTATTGAAATGTAAAAAAAAATTAAGGAACCTGTACTTACGAGTAAAACCAAAAAAAAAATGCCTTAAAGACCTTTTAACCACTTCAGTATTTGTATATTCTAAAAATTACTCAAAATACAACATTCACAATCCTCATAAGCTTTGTTCGAAGAGGTGAGTTTTAATCTGGCATGTATGCACTTATTTTAAAGCAATGATTTTACCTGCTCCTGGTTGACAACAGCCACGACAATAAATTTTTACAATCATGGTTGTACCCGCACAAGATTAACAACAGCTTTGACTATGGAACGCCGTCACTGCCTTATAGCAGAACACAACAATTGCACTGCGTCAACCTTCCATTTCATTATGTCAACTCTTTGTGACATTTACTCACACAACTATTACATTGTGTCAACCTTCTATTACATTATGTCAACTCTACATGATATTAACCCATACTACTATAGCATTGTGTGAACCTTCATTTACATTATGTCAACTCTTTATGATATTTACTCACACTACTATGGCATTGTGTGAACTTTCCTTTACATTATGTCAACTCTTTATGACATTTACTCACACTACTTTTACATTGTGTCAACCTTCGGTTTCATTATGTCAGCTCTTTATGACATTTACTCCCACTATTATTTTATTGTGTCAACCTTCCATTATATTATGTCAACTCTTTTTGACATTAACCCACACTACTACTGCATTGTGTCAACCTTCCATTACATTATATCAACTCTCTATGATATTTACTCACACTACTATTGCATTGTGTGAACTTTCCTTTACATAAAGTCAACTCTATATGAGATTTACTCACACTTATATAACATCGTGTCAACCTTCCGTTCCATTATGTCAACTCTTTACGACATTTACTCACACTATTATTATTGCATTGTGTCAGCCTTCCATTTCATTATGTCAACTCTTTATGACATTTACTCACACTACTATTGCGTTGTGTCAACCTTCCATTATATTATGTGAACTCTTTATGACATTAACCCACACTACTACTGCATTGTGTCAATCTTCCATTATATTGTGTCAATTCTTTATGATATTATCCCACACTACTGTTGCATCGTGTAAACCTTCCTTTACATTATGTCAACACTTTATGACATTTACACATTCTTGCATTTCGTTATGTTTACTGTTCATGACATTTAATTAAACAACAATTACATCGTGTTAACCTATCATTATATTATGTCAATTCTTTATGATATTAACTCACACTACTACATTATGTCGATTCACTATTACGTTATGCGAACACGGGTATCCTCGGCCTTTATATGAGCATAACGTATTTTCCGCGTTCCGAAAGCACTAAAATTGCCGGGAGAGAAAATTGTCGTAGAAGAAATCTCAGCGATTTGGGAATGGCATCTTTAAATAAAAATTTTAAGCGACAAAGGATTGACAATCTTAAAACGTGCAAAGCCTTAACATTGCGTCTGTGAATTAAAGTCACGTCGAAATTCAATGGCGTTTACTTTTATCTGATAGTTAAATAAATCAATTATGAGTCGTGCAGCAATTTTTTTTTTTTTTTTTTTTTGGTTTTTTTTTTTTGGTTTTTTTTTTTTGGATAAAAGTCTTAAACTTCTGATCTTACTAAGAACATTGTCATAATTTTATTTTATCAGTCTTGAACTTTCCTTTTTTTTAAAAGTGTAAACACATCGTATAGCACACGTGCACTGGTGGGTTGAGGGGAGGGGGAAATCCCGCCCTACCACCTTTAGTGACCAAAATCTACATGTACATACAATTAATAAATTTATTGGTTTTACTTTGTGAGGACATTGCATTAGTTTCACATTAAGTTTAGCTGAATTTTTTTTATGAAACTATAAAGCCTGAGAGTTTCTCCGCTTCCCCCTTGGTCTCCAACCATAAACCGTCCCCCTTCAGGCTTGGACAATTTTTCTGTTCAAGATTCTCGAATCCGCTACTGATATGTGTCCATGCATGTTTACTAAGGCATATTCAATTGATTTAGATGAAGGATTGGTAGATTTTTGTAATAGAATTCTGGCCCTGGAATGGTTGAAAAAAAATACTAATTTTTTTTTTATAAAACTATAAAGCCTGAGAGCTTCTCCGCTTTCCCCTTTTGTCTCCAACCATAAACCGCCCCCCTTCGGGCTTGGGCAATTTTTTTTTGTTCAAGATTCTCATATCCGCTACTGATATGTGTCCATGCATGCTTACTAAGGCATATTTAATTGATTTAGATGAGGGATTGGTAGATTTTTGTAATAGAATTCTGGCCCTGGAATGGTTGAAAAAAAATTACTAATTCCAGTGACGTATCATCTTTTTCGAAAGAGGGGGGGGGGGTCAGCCAGAAAAAAATATTCGCCCGAAAAAACGTGAGAAGCGAAAAAAAAAAAATTGTCCACTCCAAGCCCGAAAATCCTATTTCGGGGAGGGGGGTCCAACTTCGATCAGTCCTAATTTTTTTGTCAGATATACTACATTACCCTCAGTGGACTATACTTCAACAAAAAGTGGGTGTGGGGCTGTGCTTTCAATGAACATTACATTTTCTATTGTAAAGTTATGTCTGGGAAAGAGGGGGGCTGATATTTTGTGCCTGTATAATTCTTCCTAATCAATAAGGACCCCCCCCCCCCCCGACCTCTTACCAGTCATAAAAACACGGTCGTCAACATTCATTTTATACCAGATATACAGCTTTGAGATAATGTAAATGTATTTTTACATCAGGTAATGCACTTTTGGAATCAACATGATAAAGAGTTAACACAATATAAAGATATTTTAGATCACATAAGAAAGAGTTGACATAACGTAATTATATATCCACATCACGGAATTGAGTTTTGACATAATGTGATAAAGTGTTGATGTAATATAGAGAAATGTTCACATAATGTCGTACACTTTTTACACCACGTAATAAAGCACTGACATAAAGGTAAGGTGAGTTCATCTCACATCATGATGCTCCCGACCTAAAATAAAGAAAAACCCATATCATGTAATAATGCTTTGATATAATAGAAATATACACTCCCAAAAAGGAATGGATTTTTGACTTCATGTAATGATAAGTTTAATTATAAAACACAATTCACTTGACGTAATGCAATTTTGACCTCACATATTAAAGAAATGAAATGATGTAAAGAAACATTCATTTCACGTAATAAAGTTTTAACACAATGTAAACACATAATCACTTTACATAATGAATTTTCGACTTCAAGTTATGAAGTGCTGATATAATGAAAGGATGTATTTACTTCATGTAATGCAGCATTGACATGATGTAAAGATATTTTTACGTAATCTCATAAAAAATTGACATAACGTAAAGATATGTTCACATCACGTAATGATAAATTGACATAATAAATGCATAGTTGTATGCTATAAGGCAGTGTTGGCGTTCCATATTTGACTATTCCTGTTCTGAAGACATATTTTATTTTACAACCACGACTGTATTCGCCAGATTAAAAACATCAATAACTGTACTTTTCTTGTATGAAGAAGGATATGGAGATACCGAACAGTATACACTTATCCACTGGGTGTAAGTGGGATAGCTCTTTTATCAAACCCGCGACAGAGAACTATTCCCTGAGGGCTTGCCCGAGGGGAATAGTTCCTGTCAAGGGTTTGATAAAAGAGTTATCCCACTCACACCCAGTGGATAAGCGTTTTATTATACTGATGTATAGTATGATTTCTGACGTTTGAATTTTTTTGGAATAAGATTATTCTGCAAGAATAATCTGAAATCCTGATGACGTCACAATGCTATTGAAGTCATTATGACATCATCAGTTTAAAATTTATCGCTGGAAATCAAAATTTATGGCAAAAATTGCATGAAATTTTTCCGAGGGTGGATAGCAAAAACTATACCCCGGGTATAGCTTTGCTATTCGTTGACTATACAGGATAGTTATTTTACCTTCTGAACTTTATATAGGAAACATTTTAACAGAAGTATAATAATATTCAATATCAAAGTCCATAAAACAATACATTGAACAAAATAATCATTTTGCATCCTGCATGGACTCTTCATTGTTCAAAACATCCACGGCCTATTCTTTATTCTATATCTATGACTGAATTAATATTCGACTAAAAAAATCGACTACTGTTCTTGTGTCTCAGATATAAAAAAAACATCCGTGGCTCTATACCTGTCTTGTATACACAAGTTATTAATCATCCGTGACTCTACCCAATTTCTGATTATCAATATCGTGTCCAATATACACAAACTTTACTCTATCTGTCACGTAAAATTATGTCATATTTGCTTCATGACGGTACCTAAGTCAAATTAAAATCTTCCACGACCGTATTTCTCCTGCATGCACCCTTTATTCTATGTCCCTGACTGAACCAATGCACCTGATAGACAACATTCAGGACAGTCCGCATTCCTCGTGTTAATTTTTGATATCAACGACAGTGCCTCGTGAAAATTCTAAATATTTTATAACCATAGTCAATAGATAAAGTAACAACATCTACGACGGTACCGGTCTTGTATATGCAGTAACATGCATTCAAAATCCATAGCTGTACCAATATAATGACAACATCTACGACTGTACCTGTCTTTTTTATACAGTAACATGCATTCAACATTCATTACTGTACCTGGGCTTTATAGCATCCATGACTGCATTTGATTGTTTACATTTGATAATCTTACCATTTGTTTAAGTATTAAAAGAAATAAAACATTACAATATTCGACAAAGAGTACAAGTCTCCGCAGAAACAATGGGGGAAAGGGGGAACCAAGGCTCTCCATGGTACATAATTTGCTATGAAGGCAACAAAAAAGAACTGTATAGAATAGTATTTGGTTGATCTAGAAGCATGGAGTAATTTAAGTGTTTGCTCCTGTCTCATTTTTTTCTTTTGAAATTGTGTTCTGCTTGTCGGCTAATACGCAAGTGAGTTAAGGCTACAAATGGAGGTTTTTATGCATTATATCTAATTAAATTCCATAATTGCTCTACCTACCGCACAGAGATTTTTAAGACTTGTTTTCAAATACATTCTTTGGTACCCACGACATGCGATAGCCAGTACACATTATGACGTCATATGATGATGTCATCGACATCTACTACATAAGTTTATAATAAACATAAACAAAATCGCTTCAGCCTTACTTTGTTTAACAGAAACAAGGTATAAAAAGACGCAGGATATTCAAAGAATTTAATATATTGCTGCACAAATGTCGACACTGCAATTGTTTAGCTACTATTCGTGCTGCTTTAAGTTTAAACAGGGTATATTTCACTGAAAGTGCTTAGGATTTGTGCAGCAATTTTATTTATTTTAAGAATATTCTCCTTAACATCAAACATTGTTTATATTATAAGATAGGATATGCCCTTACGCCCACGTGATTTTGTTGATGTGATTTATTACTTTGAATTGGAGAACAATGACGTCATAATGTGACGTCATAATGTGCACTTGCATTAATAAACTGTTGGTACTAAGTATGTATAAAAAAATTAATTTGATCTTTCTCTGTACTCAAAATATACAATTTATGAATTTTATTAGCTCATTTGCATAGAAATATCCATTTTTAGCTTAAACTCACTTGCATATTCTAATAATCATTAAGGAATAAAATTTCTGAACTCTTTTTGATCTGGTTCATGGCGTAAATGCCACTGAAATTTTATTTATCAAATTATGGAAGGTCTTTCAAGTGACGTTAGCTTGTTTAGAAATGCATGTGTATTTACCAAAAATTATATTTCACTAATATGACAAATGAAATTTTTACAGATGTAAGTGCAGTTTCCAGAGAATCCTCTATTCAGACGGCCTGGGTGGTTATTGGAGTACTCATTGGTTTATTCGTTTTGTTGCTGACGAGCTGTGGAGTTTATAAGTTTACTTTTCGTCGAGGTAATTCTTTTTTTTTCAATATTTTGCTTTGGTAAAGAAATTTTCGTACTTAGTGCTAGCTTTTGTGCATGCTCGTGGAAAAATTGATTTATTGCTTGTCAAGAAATATTTAGTAGTTGATTGTGCCTAAAATTGAATATGAAACACTTATAAACAGCCACATTGTACATAAAAGTACCCAATCAAATATGCATTTACACTTAGTTTTAAATACAGTACATAAAAAATCTTGAGAATTGACCAATCCTGTAAAAGTGTACCTTAGTTTTTTAATGGACAAGTTTTGAAGAATAACATACATCACTCAATTTGTATACTGTGAAATTGTTACAAATTCTTTAAAGTCATGAAGCCTTGAACTAACCAGATTGTCAGGTCATAGAAGTGGTCGTACGTCTCTTTATTTACCACTGAAACGTTTTTACTATCAATGCTTCTGTTTAAAAGAATATTTAATTACTTATTTTCCCTCCCTCCGCTTGAAAAGTGGGAGGGTAAACTGTGACCGTGATGTCCGTCTGTCTGTATGTTTGTCCGTCTAGGTGATTGTAAGTCCGTCACCTGTCTGTTACTCTTGTATGATTCACAACTCCTCTTTTAATTCTAAATGAAACTTAATTAATAATGCTTCACAGAATCTTTAGAGCATAGTGCCATTATGCAATTCAAAATTTATTTTTTATCCGACATATTTTTTGGGTTTCTCATAGTAAAATGTTTTCATATTGAAGGGTACCCATATCTTATCCGCAGATCTTTCTATACCATTAAATAAGATTAACCAATACTTAAGCATTTAAAAAAATCACATTGCAATAGTTAAGTCCAGATAATTATTTATTTGGGTCTCCCAGAGCACAAACCTGGATCTACCGTACATATGGGAGGCGGGGTATAATTTAGCGAGCACAATACCTTTAGCTTATTATGCCCCCCGTAAACGAAGTTTCGGGGGATATAGTTTTTGCTGTGTCCGTCTGTCTGTCTGTCTGTCTGTCTGTCTCTCTCTCTCTTTCTCGTTGTCTGTCTCTCTGTATCTCCGTTCGTCTGTTTGTCCGCAAAACTTTTACCTTGCCCATAACTATTGATTTAGTTGAGTTATGACTTTCATATTTCACATGTGTGTATTCCTTGTGACAAGACCTTTCTCTGGGTACCACCAGATTTGACCTTTTGACCTTGACCTTGGAGTAAGACCCACTTTTATATGAAAATTTTAAACTATTACTTTGGCCATATCTTTTGAACAGTAGATACCAGGACGTTTGTACTTCACAAATGTAATCTTTGTTAAAAGACCTTTCATTGGATACACACAACCTTGACCCTTTGACCTTGACCTTATACATTTCTGTACTTGTGAAAAAACTTTAACCATAGCCATAACTTTGGAACGGTAAGGGATAGGGCTTTCATACTTCTTATATGTAATCCTTAATAGAAGGCCCTTCTTTGGATACCAAGAATTTTGACCCGTTGACCTTCACCTTTGAGATTGACCTACTTTAAATAAGCAAACCTTGACCATAACTTTTAAAGGGTTAAGGCTTTCATACTTTACATATTTAATTCTTATATGAATTAAACCTTGACCTTGGAGTTTGACCTACTTTTGAAAAAAAAAGAACCTTCGCCATAACTTCTGAACTTATATGGCTGGGCTTTCATGCTCTACATAAGTATTTTATGTGGCAAGACCTCTCATTTGATACTGTAAATCACTTTTTATTTTAGCGTAATTACGCAAGACAGTGTGCTCGAGAAAATCACTCGCGTATAATAGTATTCCTTAGGATTATATACAGCAATGACCACAATTCGTGAAAATTTTGTCTCGCTAATAAAGAATCAATGGCTATCTCGCGAAAATAAAGTGTCGCGAAAATTAAGCAATCTACAGTACCAAATTACATTGATCCTTTGACCTTGAAGATTTTTCTACTTATTGAAAA